ACTGATGTTTGGCAGTATCGTCAGCTCATATGTCCTTGTATAACTGGTCTGAGCATACCATGTACTTGTCATTCCCTATTTTATTGCCCTAGAGTAAGTCCTTCTTGTATCCTTCCAACGTTTTGAAGATAGCTGAGCAGTCTTTAGGGTTTAGAGTGTCGGTACAAACATAGAGTGGTTGATAGTTGGCATCCAAGACTTGCGCATGCCCATCACATTGGGACAAGGCATCAGCAGCAACTTGGATACAGCCAGGATGATAGATAATCTGCACATCGAAATGGGAAATGTCATCAGCAAAATGAGCAAGACGGTGTCCGAGATGTTTTTGAGTATGAAAGTATTTCAAGGATTCATGGTCTGTGCAAACAACTATTGGGGAACCTTCAATATAACCTCACCATTTCTTCAAAGCATGAACGACTGCAAGCATTTCTCATTCTTGAGCAGAGTAGCATTGTTCAGTGGGAGTCATGTGATGGGACTCATAAGCAATAGGCCATAAGTCCTTATCCTTGAAGGCAAAGCAGGAATCTGACTCACAGGTATCCCCCCCATCATCAGATCCTCAAAAGGACTGGCTGCTCTGCTGGAGGACAGCACCAATGCAATTTCCTGAGGCATCAGAGTCGATGATGAAGACATGCCATGGAGTAGGATGAATGGGGATATGGGTAGAGGTGAGCGCTCGTTTGAGATTATCGAAGGCCTGTTGATGTTTATCCACCCAGGCAATTGGTGTACCTTTCTTTGGAGATCCTTGGAGAAGGTCATATAGGGCATGGGCAGCATCAGCAAACTGGGGAATGTAGCGGCAGTAGTATCCTGCAATATTGACAAATCCTTGAACATTGGTGATGGTTTTTGGCACTGGCCAATTAAGGATTGCCTGGATTTTGTCTGGGTCAACCTGGATGCCATCCCCAGAGATGTAGTGTCCAAGATAGAGGATTTTGTGCTGTGCCCAAGAGCACTTGTCAGAATTTAGTACAAGGCCTTCATCGTCAAGAGCAGTAAGTACCTTTTCAACATCAAAAATATGATCCTGAAGAGTTTTCAAGTAGATAATGATGTCATCAAGGTAGACCATGACACAGTTGTCGATGTATGGGTGTAGAATGTCATTCATCATGTTTTGGAAGGTTGCTGGTGCGTTTGTGAGGCCAAAAGGCATGACATGGAACTGATAATGGCCATAGCAACAAGTAAAGGCTGTCTTCTCTTTGTCAGCTTCATCAAGTCAAATTTTCCAGTAGCCAGAAGAAAGGTCAAGGGTAGTGAAGACTTCTGCATCCTTGAGGTTGATGTAGCATTCGTCTATTCGAGGTAATGGGTAAGCATTTTTCCTTGTAAGACAATTAAGGGCATGTAAATCAACACAAACCCTAGGCATACCATCCTTCTTTTCGGCAAGGATAATTGGTGAGGACCATGGGGATTGGGACTCTTCAATGACTCCATCGAGGAGGGCTTTGTCAATGAACCTTTTTATGATAATGTTGTCTTGCAGTGAGTGTGGACAGCCTCAAGTTCAGACCAGCTGAGCATTGCCAGTATCAATATGGTGGACCCAATGATGACTAGGTGAGTATCCTACCTTCTTCCAGAAGAGTCTTGGGAATTTCGTAGTGACAGCATCCTTTAGCTTTTTTGCAAACTGGCCAAGTTTACAGGGATGTCTCATAGTTGATGTAGTGGGCTCTGGAGGGTGCACAATGTCCCCCAGGAAATCAGCCTCATCATCTGCATAATAGTCTTCGACTTCAATGAGGTCTGGGAGATCACTGTAGTCATCAGCAGTATCAGATGAGGTGTTGTTAAGAGTAAAGAGATCCTCAATTTTCCAAATGACTGGCTGGGTGACAGGTGGTGATGGCGAACAGAGGGGTGAATGTATAGCTTGGATGCAGACTGTCGCATGAGTCTTTGGTGAGGTAAGGAAAAATGAATTGTCCTCCCATCAGGGCCTAAATTGATAATGCTTCATCCAGTTCCTTCCAAGCAGCAAGTCATACCTGAATCCTGAGTCTACTTCCAAGATGTATGCCAAGTTTGTCTCCTTGATAGTGCCAATCTGAAGGGTGAATTTAGCAAATGCTACCATGGTTGTATAGCCTGCACCCACGATGTCCTTGGGTACTCAGAGTTGGAAGATATCCATATGGGCAGCCTCTGCAACCAAGCGTCGAATGTAGTTGTCAGGAGCAGCTGTATCAAGGATGGTCTCGACAAGAATAGGTTTGCCTATTCTGCCCAGGAACTTGTAACATCCTTGTACTGATGCATGATAAACAGGCAAGCCCTCGGAAACTTCATCGTCAAGGTTCAGAAGATGAAGTTCGAGTCGTGATGATGGCCTATCATTCCTTTTGGCAGGCTCACAACTCTCAAGAAACTTGTCAACATCCTTCTGAGTGTAGTTGTTGTGACAATTGACCTCTACACTAAGCTCCTGGAGCAATGTTGGCAGTGGATATGGCTGTGCTGCATTACGGGCATGGTGGGGATGGATGGGCTGAGGATCACCAAAATGGAACATGGACTGGCTAGCTGAGCAGGGATAGTTATACTTGGCCTGTCCATTGAGTGTTCCATTGTTCCTGTTAGGATTATTGGATGGAATTCAGGGCAGGCAGCAATCTTGGGAGTAGTGTCCCATTTTGTTGCAATTGTAGCATCGGATTTTAGTCATATCCTGGTGGAGGCGAGGGCCTGTTGGTGGGTGGACCCTGTTCTGAGGTTCAAAGCTGTCAAGGTCCATGGGTACAGGCATTGAGGCAGATGTGGAGGTAGATGCAGTGGAGGATGGGAAGGTGATAGATGGTACAGCCGTGTTTTCATTGGTGTGGTGTTGTTCACCCGTACGGTCAGTTTTGTGGCCATTTTTGCAAACCTTTTATGGCATGCCCAGTTACGGGTAATGTCATAGACCTTTGCCATGGTGTGGGGATTGAGATTGGAAATATGAAAGCCAAGATCAGGAGGTAGAGGGCAAGTGAAGTAGTGATGGCAGTCACTAAAAGTCATCTCCTTGTCGTCTAGCTGCATTTCCAGATTCTGGAAGTGAAGGATGTAGTCAGGTAGACTTCCTCAGTACTAGATTCTGTGTAAAGTACCACAAATTTCGTCAGCCTGAGTAGGTGAGTCGTATTGCATCTTGAGCTCTTTAACAAGCTCATCCTAGGCTAGAGGGCAATCTCTGTTGGCTCGTTTCTTTGAGAGGTACCAAGTTTAGGCACCATCCCACAGAAGAGCACTTACTGACACACCCCAGTCATCTTTCGGAATGTGTGAAGCTTCAAGATGGTCCTGAATGATGGAGAGGAAGGCCCGGACACTCTCCTTGAGGGTGCCATGGAATTTTGGAAGGTCAACATGGAGACTATGGGGACATATATTTGTGGTAGTGGTAGTGGGAGCTGTAGGAGCTGCTGGGAGCTGGAAAGAGGCATTAGACAGAGCATATTGAAGAGCATTTGAGATGTGGTCTGCATAAGCCCCCTCTGCCTGAAGTGCAGCCAGAGTGCCCTCACTTTTGGAGAGGCACTGTGCCAAGGTAGTTAGGATAGGGGCAAGTGCAGCATAGGCATCAGCAGGGACAGAAGAAGCCAGATTTTTGAGAGGGTCAGACATGGTGGGACTAGAAGACTGATGGTAATTTTCAGTGGCTAGATTTTTGGGTGTGGAGTCAACTGGAAGGACAAGTTCCCTCTGAAACAATGGTTGAGTGAGGAGTGGGAAAAATTGGAGCTAGCTGAACATACGGTCGAGTATCCAGCCTCAAAATAGGTCAAGTATCTGAGAGATAAGTTCAACAAATCCTGTACTTGATCAAGTGAGGTATCACTCTGTTTGTGGCAGGCCTGAGTCCGGTCAGACAGCAAAAAGGGTGAGAGAATTCTCATATTCCACTACATAATTACAAACTTATATACTACAGATTTTATGTGAGCCACTAACTAATAATAACTACTAATACAACATGAATCAGATGATTTGGAATAAGTCATAATTAATCAGAAATGTAACAGGGGGACAAAGGCAAAGGCATAGAGAAATAACAGAGATAAACTTCAAGGAATAGGACCATACAACAAGACTTTGTTCACTCATGGATTGTCATCTGTAAACCATCCATTGAGTTTTCTTGCGTGTGACCACCGAAAATTTCCATTGGTCACATCGGTAATGGGTGACAGTTTCCAAAAGAGTCCTGACTCTTACCGTTTGTCACATAGGTCACACTCACTTACATTACATGAGCAAATTGGAAGTGTTCACGTCTACCAAGCAAATCATGTTGAATAGTATTTTCAGTCACGGTATAAGATAGCATTTTATTGTGCTATAGAACATTGTATTTACAGAGACATTATCACGAAAAGCAATGTTGTCAGTCTCAAATCATATTTCAGTACAAATGTAACGCAATTGTATCATGCGGTGGGAAAAATCATGAGACATGATGGCTATTGTAATCCCCAAACTGGACCTTGAGAGACCTTGCAAGCAAGGTAATTCAAAGCGTGTCCTTCTCAAGCCGAAGCCCTTGCTGCGCACACTGCCCTCGTAATCCATCCCGAGACCTGACACCACTGAGCATTTCGCCAAGCCCCCAAGCTCGGCAAGCTCGTTCGACTCTATGCATGAATGTAGTGCTTTGATCCTAGCAAGTGCCTCTCGGCTCAGTCATTACCGGCAGCGTGATTGTCATTCAAAATCAGTCAGGAACCATACTGAGAACAGACTAGATGGTTTCAAGTGGCAAGCGACCATCTTTGTATGTCAGTCCATCTTTCATATCTCTCCCTGCTGTCCGACTGTTATTCTAATTCTTTCATAACAACCCATCGACCCCTCCAAATTCCTCTGCACTTTCACGGCAGTATAGCGCATTCAGACCGTCTATGGGCTGAGCTGGAACCGAGTGTATGCGGTGGTCTTCTCATCTCGCCATGACAGCATGTTTATGGCCTGCTTACCTCCGCAGGGACATATCATCCCTTTTAGTTCAGCTGGTAGAGTGTATCACTAGGATGCATTGGTTTAGATGTTTATGACGAGGTCAGTCGTTCAAGTCGGCTAGAGGGAAACCATTTCTCTACAACAGTATCTTTTACCCGATATCTAGATTTCTGTTTTCGCTGGTCAAGCAATGAGATCTTGAGAAGTTGAACATTGACTATTCCTCCTACTTTGGTATTGGGCATGGCTGACTGGCATTTGTCACCCAAATATAGACAAGTGCGTCTTCTAAGTTCTCACAGAACTAGTAAGGCTGTTCGACTCGCACTCTGACTCTACGCTTTTATGCATTCATTCTTCTAATGCGGGTATCAGTCCTTCAAGGAATAGAGACTTATTTGTGTCGAGTTAAGGGAATGACTGATATTCGTCCACAGGTCACTCCTCCTACCCGTGTACTACGATAGAAATATTTACGTATTGTTTTACAGGGACATCGCGCAAGCAAAGAGGTGGGGAGTATAACAAATGTCTTTTCAAATTGTATGTGGCATCTACGATAAACGAAAGGAAAGAAAAGATGTCCCTCATGGCCTTAGTGACCACACTGGCTGGGATCGAACCAGAAGGAGCACATCTGGGCCGGCAAGCCCATCCATTGCACCATAATGCTCGTCAATCCAGTCAGTGATCATTCACCCAGTGCTTTTCACCGAGTCACCGGAGAGGACACCAGGGCACAGGCACGCTGCAACGCTGTCTCACGATTCATGCAAGCAATAAATCGGATATCCTCTTAGAGGCTATGTCAATGCTCGTGCATTGTCAAAGGTCAGTCATTCGAGTCGGCCGAAGGGAAATAATCCTCTTTGTATGATCGTTTTTCTTTTTAAATTTGGTCTGTGCGCTGCAACGGTAGCTGACCATGCTGCTTGTTCAGCCCCGCATTTCCCATCCACTTTGAATGATCCAACTACAAAGAGGAGGACTTGAAGGTCATGAGGACCAGTATACTAATCCTCGTCAGAGGATGGTGCAGTCTTTCAGGAGATAATGGGCATCATATCGTCCATCTGATCGCGCGAGATGGTTGCAGCTTATCCTTGAAGAGAACTGACCATAATACGCGTTGGCCAACGTTAGCGCCTGGTCCCAGACAGGCAGGTGATTCTGGATGATGTCATAAACGTCATCGCCGTTTCTTGTTGTAGGAAAAGGAAGCCCTTGTGCCTTGAGAAAGATCAGTAATATCATTAAATAACGGCAAGATAATTGGCCTTCTGGGGAGGAATACCATCAATGTCAGGCTAAGAGAACTAAGTCGGGACTCAGGACTATGGGCATTGCTTTCTGGTGACGTACATGAAGAGGCAATGAAATAACTCTGGAAGACCTTTAGACAGATGGTGTTAAAGAGCTGAAACACATCGCTCACCTCCAAGCCACTGGTAAGCCCAAAGAATCGAAAGATACCATGTACTGATACGGCAAGGGTACTGTGCATATCTGGGACTTCTGTCGGATTTCTGAGACATCGAGAGGTACATCAATGCAGGGTGAACCTTCCCTTTCCACAAAGTCATCGTGTAGTAATGGATGGAGAGTATCTGAGAACTGCGCTTCAAGTGTCGTCGATAGTAGTTGACGAATTCGCCCTGTAAGGCGTACACCACCTTCCGATGAAAGTGCTTGGTTGCCGCTAGTACAAAATGTGTCCGGTGTCCCTTGGCCTGTTGATAGACTGCTTTTTTCAAGAAATTAATGTAGGGAAATTCAGAGAAAGTACTAAGTTCTCACCGTCAAGACAAAGAGAAGCACAACCTCGATGCTGCAGAACGGAGTTAGCATACGCGCTTGTCGGCAAAGAAATGTCTGCCCTGACAGCCTACAGGACTGGCATGGTATCGGTAATGATATTGGTCCCGGCGCAAGGTTCCAATAAGGAACCACCGGGCCCACAGCCCTGACATGGCATTGTCATGCGCTGTGGCCATGAAGGCTCACACCGTTGTGATCACATTGTTGAGTACTGTTGGAATTTGGCAATCCGGCATCGTGCCGATCTGTCTTATTAAGGAAGAAGATTGAGGAAAGGTATAGAAAGTTCTAGTAAACAGTCCTTTAGTATATAAGTAGGTACTGTAGTGTACATCCTCATGCGTTTGCAGAGCTCAGCCAAGCGCAATACTATTGGCTTGAACACTATGCATACATACTGGGAACGAACTTGATCCCCCGTTTCACAACAAGTACGCCTTGCGGATTAGAGCGTCTTTGTGGGGTTCTGACGAGGGCAGGTAAAACAGATGAGGATGGTGCGGTCCATGTCGAGGAGCACTATGGGAGACTGGTATCGAGAATGACAGCCAGGTGACAGGTCGCATGCAACAAGAATGGACTCCGTCACGGCGCCGAAGCAGCGGCAGGAGCAGTCCTCATCACCATCAATGGAACCATGGCCGGATGCTGTGAGTTCAAGGTATATGTGAATGTGCACGTACTGCAGGTTAACAGAACTGGAATTTTCGAGGGGGGGAGTGGATAAGACATTGTTTGCAGAGCGGGTTTCAGATCCTTGAGGGAAAAAAAGAGTATTAAAGATGAAAAGTCAGATAGATTGGCCTGGAGAGTGAGATTTGAAAGAGTTATAGCAAGACTATCGTAAACGGCGGCGGTGATGGTGGAGGTGCACCATCACCGCGCAGCTCACCTCAAGCTCCTCAGAAGACGTCGAATAGGATAACGGCAGGCACAAACCTCTCTTGAAAACTGACGTGGATGGATATGGAAGTTGGAATACAAAAGCTAGAATGAAAAATAAAGAATAGGTAATATGAGAATGGATAGTCACAACACCATGGCCCAAGTTAACATTATCCTTCGAATGCAAAGCTCGGTTGTTGTAGGGGAGAACCACCCATTGGTCGGGGATGGTGCAGTGCTTTGACATCATTTGAGCATTGCGAAGGCAAGACGACTGTCCCTTAAGATAGGAAGAGAGACAAACAGCGGAGCGTATCACGAGAGAAAGAACGAGAAAACAAGGAACCCGAGAAAGGACAGATGCATATCAATTCCACAAACATAGCAACACGTACTACTGCCTCACCGGTGCAAAAATTTCCTTCATTGCCGCTTGAGGACAAGGTGATGACAAATCGCATGTAATGATGTGATCTCCGAATTACCGGACCGCTCTGTTATCATTACACACTGGCAGTACAGATCGAAAATACGAAATCACCCAATTTCAAAGGGTACTCCCCTCTTCTTAGTAGAAACGATGACCTCGACAACGACGGCGACCTTCAGCAAGGCTGAAAGTTCGGTTTAGAGCAGATTGAGCGACAGCTGCAGGGCCAAGATGATACATCGGATGATAGTGTTATGACCGGCGCGAATGTATGGCCTTCACAGCTCCCCGAGTTTTGCCGAGCAGCGTTGTAGTACTAGTTCAGTTCTCACATGATAGTGTTATGGCAGGCGCAAATGTGTAGCCTATAGCGCCCCGAGTTTTGCCAAAGTACTAGCTGAGTTCTCACTTTGTTCTCACTTTTTTGCGGGGTTCGTTAATGATGCCACTGCTGTAAACCTATGAAAAAAACTGTTCCTTCTTTTCGCTCTCACGATTGAATTGCCTGAGAACAGTCTGAGAACCTTTTCGAGGACAAGCTGTTGTCATGATTCTATTCATATTTACGCCCAAACTTAGCTACTCTGTTATCACGATTCTAATCATATTTTCGTCGAAAATCCATCGAGACAGCAAAAAGTCAGTATGTAGAATTACGCCTTAGTGTTCCGCAATCCTGGTAGAGCCAGGCAATAGAATAGCATATTACAACAAACAGCAGTATAGACGTACATAGATGTAGAGTACTATACCCCCGCGTCTTCGCCCATCACGAGGCGCCACCGATCCACTGGATTTTCATCATTATCATCAATTGTGGTGATCATATGTTCATCGCTCAAACTTCTCTGTTTTTAATTGGTTTCTAAGGAAGTCGGGGGTATTTTTGGACTCCACGTGGCAACCTCTGGGTCGTGATCCTCAGAAGCAGTCCCAAGTTCGATTTAAAACTGACTTCGAAATGCTTTTCAACGAAATCCACTCTTCCGCCTATACACATTTCTTTCTGACCTGCTGCAATGCTGAAAACAACGACCACCGCTGAATTAATACTCTATGGTGCGCTTCTCATCCGAAACGATGTTAGTGCCTACTCGAATCACATTTTGTTTAGCCGGGCTCACTGCTCTGGTAATTGACACAGTCTGGAGAGTCAGTGAGGCCTTCATTTCGATGCTTTGCCTACTATACAAAACCAATACTAGCCTTAGTGGTCCGAGATCACGGCATGAGTCGTTTTCTTCCGGTGTGGACTGGTCATCATCGTATACCTCATCGCAACATCCCCTCTCGCCGTTCGATCGATATTCGTCCAAGGAAGAGAGGAGACCACGTACGTCTATCCCCCTGGGTGGATCCTCTTGAGTTCGACATCCTTCATGGCGAATATCCTCATTACAAATTGCATCGCGGTAAGCAAATACCATCATATTTACCTGTCGGAAGGAGTTGATGCTGACTATGGCTTAGATCTGGCGGTGCTGGTTCCTCAGCGGTCGCAAATGGATGTTTTCCGTCATTCCAGGACTGTGTACCCTCGTCGGAACGAGTTTGTTCCTTTCATTGTCGTCGCCAAATGGGAACTGACGTCCGGCTCAGTCTTCGCAGGATTTGGTCTCTATCAGATGACTGCTACGTCATCCTCAGGAAACTCATGTGCTACTCAGATTGAGTGGATGCTCCCCTACTTCTCTATGTCGGTCACCGTAACAATTTTGTGCACGGTAGTCATCTTATATCACACCGTAACGGGTCCAATCATTGGGCAGAGAACCCGCCGGCTCTGGATCAACATCGTCGTCGAGTCGTCATTATTGTTCATGGTGGGGCCCATTATTTTCTTGGTTTACATCACGAGTGATATACAGACGGGTTGTCCGCTGCCTGCTGTGACCATGATTATGGTATGCTTCAGCTCAATATATTTTCTTCCGGATGCTAATGTGTCATCGTCAGAGTCTGGCGCCTATCCGGGCCGTCGCTCGAGTACCGAG